AGGACTATGACGCGCCGGGCTGGGAGCTATAACCAATGGGACGGATCAAAACTCTCGGGCCCAAGGTCAAGGCCGATGGAAGGACTGTGTATGGGCTCAGGGCTTCCTGGCTTAAGCTGGGAGCATCTGTGCTCAAGTCAGTGGACTGGAAAGGCAGAGTCCAAATTCAGAGAGGGTCCTTCTATGGTCAGAAAAGAGCAAAGATGCCCTCACACCTGATTAATGAGGACCCTGATTTCTACTGTAATTATAACGATAGTACAGAGGCATAAGAAACAGTTCCCACAAATGTCTGTAATTGAAATTGGAATGTTTACCGGGTCAAACCAACATCTTAGGTTTTCTCACCTCATTCTGTTAGTTCTCAAAGGTCAAGGGCAATCGGTATTTTTCTCCTCATATCGCAGGACCCTGAAGCGGCACGCAAGGCAGTCACGCGGCATTTAAACAGCGGAAACCCCCTGCCCCACGCAGACCCCCCAGCTCCAGCGTCTGTGAGGTCCCCACCTTGGCTGACAGGACACTCACCGCCTCGGGTCACGGGCAGCGGTGCCCCCCTCTGGGACCCACTGCTTCCTGAGGGGAGCAGGCCTTGGCGACAGGGAACTCCCTGGGGAGGCGGGCGGCTCCGCGAGAGCCCCGGCGCCGCAGGGAAGCCCTGGCGTCCAGGAAGCAGACCGGCTTGCTGTGTGCGGGCAGCGCGGTGGGGACTCTCTGGTCTCCTGCGGGGGCGAGTGACCACGCGCTCTTCGATTAGGCGGTTGGCATGGCAACCTTGTACTAGCAGGGGTGGCTTCTTACAACGTTCCCTCCCTCCCTGGTGTTTCCTGAGCACTTACCTCCTGCTAAACTCTGCGCCAGGCACAGGGCCTGAGGGTGCAACACCATACACAAGCCCTGCGTCCCTGCGCTTTGCGCAACAGCGAGGAGACAGGCTTGAATCAGTGTCGCAAACGGGCGATGGTGATAAGACGTAAGGACGATGGAGAAGAAGAACCTGGGATGACAGCTGGGGGGGGAGGTGTGAGGGGATGGAGGGACCGAGCGACAAGGAAAAAGGACTCACGGACAACGGTGTGTGGATTGCTGGGGGAGGGAGTATAAGGGTATAAGGGGGCACATGGTAATGGAAAAAATACAATAAAGATTAAAGTTAAAAAAAAAAAAAAAGGAACCTGGTAGTTAGAGAATATGCAAGTAATGGAAAAGCCCGACCTGGTCAAAAAGGCGTGAGGTCCCCTGAGGAGGTGGCATTTTGCTGAGCTCCACGGGCCGGAGCGGGATGGCGCTGGGTGTCATGGGGCGGGGACGGGGTGTGGGGGACAAGAGAAGGGCGGTGGTAGGAGGGAGCACCGCCCGTACTGGGGGCCACCGTCCCTGGAGCACAGAGCAATGAGAAGACATTGAGAAAGAGCTCGATGTGCTCAGAGCTGTGCTTTGAAAAAGGTCAGCGAAGCTGCAAAGCAGAGAATGGACGAGGTGGCTGGGGCGGGGCGGGGCGAGGAGACAGGAAATAGCCTGAGCCCCTTCCCAGAGCACCCCGCGCGCCGCCATGATTACGTTTTGGGCGCCGGGAGCTGGAACTTGTTTATGTCCTTCCGTGAAAGCTACATTCCCCAGAGGGGGCCGGGACCGTCCCTAAAAGGAGCCACTTACAAAATTTACTCCTCTCTGGATCACTGAGAAATCCCCTTCATTAACCTCTCTCTATCCTGGACCCCGCTTGAAAGGGTTTGTTTTTGTTTTTTCTAGAACAATTCTGTGCTATACAAACAGCCCTGGCCTACGAATTCAGAGATGCAGTTTCTGTCTTGGCTTTTCCACATCGATTTCCCCGGCTCTTCAGCTTCCTCACAGTTGCTTCCAAGGATCAAGAGAGACGAGAGAGGAAAAAGACTGAACAAACGCCAGGACTCTGAGCACACTCTTTCTTTCATGAAGGGTATTATTTCAGGAGTGATTAAGTAATCAATTTTAAATATAGTTTATATATGACCTAATTGATAAATAGTAAGGTATACATGATTTTTCTGGAGTTCTAACACATAACTCTAAGAACATGAGAACTTGCAGTTTCCTGCTGTTAGTCAACACTCAAAGTTCACCTCTGGCCTGGGGGTTCCATGGAATGATATTGGTTAGGATGAGAACAGTTGTTTTCCTTGTCCTGTTTCTTCTCAGCAAGTTCTTGAAATACGAGGTATCTCACCTTGCAGGAAGGTGAAGGAATGCCTAACTTTTTCTTTTGGGGGAAGGTCAGCTGATAGCCTGCATTTTCCAGGGCGGACCTCGTTTCAAATAGCACATTGTCTCTCCCATCAGTGCACCTGCCTGTGCAGAGTTTCCTGTCCCAATGTTGGGGGTCATGAATTAGGGCCATTACAGTATTCTGAAGAGCTGTGCAGGCGACACTTTCCAGCCAGTTCAAAAGCAGTCCTGTGTCTGGGAGCTGGGCAGGGCTGTCCTCCGTGCGCCCATTGGGTGCATTCCCACGGCCTCAGGGAGTTTTGTGAGTAACGCCTTTATATTTACAAACGACAAGTGGCAAGGGAGCCTTGTTTACACGAGATGACAGAGATTCGACACCATCCATCATATAACTAGCCTCTTATTCTCAGCTAGGAAAGCTAATTACTGGGCTAATTTATTTTCATAACCGTGCGCTATCTCAGCCTTTGTTTTGAGAAAACAACTTGGACAATGCAGGCTGGGCTGGATGGTGGGGAGAATGCACTTAATTGAATTTAAAAGGAAACACAGCTTAAGTCCTCTAGGGTCTATTCTGATCCTTCAACACCAGCCTCTTCTACCCCGGGAGGCAACTGAGCCTTAGAAGTCGGCTGTGTGATCTCAGGCAGCAGCTTTTAACGGGGGCCTGGTGTTCAACGAAAGCACCAGTCCTGTGGGGGGCCTTTGGAAGCGTCTAGTGTCTACTCATCTCAGGGAGTCTGGGCTGGGGCAGATGCTTCAAGATGGACCAATGGCCAATGGGCTGGCCAGTTCCACTGGTACGCCTTGAAATTAGGTCTTTTTTTCTGAATGGGCTACCACGCAATGGTTTTTTTTCTCAATATGACTGTTATTTGACTGGAGAAAAATCATTCACAATGAACTGAGTACTACTTTCATCCGAATGCAATGCTATTATCAAACCTCTGCTTTACTTGCCTGGAAAAGGGCCATGTGGGTCAAGGGAAGTGAGGGAGACTTGGCTTCCATCCAAGTCACTGCAGTGTTGTCTGGGGTTGGTGAGAGGTTCTGACTAGCTTGGTCCCTCGCCGCTCCGTGAGCGCTCCCCTGAGGCTGGGACTGCTGCGGAGGCCAGCTTCCCAGGACGAGGAAGGCTGGTCTTTCGGGGTGGGACGTCCTTGCTTGAAGTATTCCCTTGGATGCTGTCATTCAAGTCCCCGTGATTGCTACCCATTTAATACCCAGGAGATGGGGGCCTGGCAACAGAGAAGGCACGGTCTCTCCTCGGAAGGTATCTTAAAATTGTCCTACGTTATAGACAGGTAGGGATTTTTAGCTTATGAAGCTCTTTGTCATACATCATCTCATTTCATTCTCAAACGCTGAAGAAGACCAAGTAGGCACGATTACCCTCATTTTCAAGATAGACAGACAGACTCAGAGAGTCCCAGGGACTTCCGCAGTGTGGCACAGGTCGGGTGGGAACCCAAGGCTGTGTCTCTGCCACAGCCAGTCTACTTCCCACCCCACCCTAGGGGGTGAGAAACAGGTTGGGGGGCCAGGGCAGCCGCTGGAGTACCCTGCGCTTGTCCAGTAAGTCTGACAGGAACAGACTCTGTCTTTGCTTTCTTAGTAAGAGCCCCTTGGGAAAAATGACGGCTGGTGGTGATAAAATCCTGTTTCTACATACCTGTCGTTGCTTTCAGCTTCTTAAAGACTTTATGGCGGCTTGTTTCACCACTTACACCTCAACCCACAGCCTGGCCACAGCCATATTCCCTTCCTCCCGGAGCTGTGACTTGGGCCATCGCAGGGGAAGTGAGGTCCTGGGGTCAGGTTGGTGAGGGGTCCCTGGGAACACAAAGTGTGGGTGGGTCTGCCCCAGGGCTCCGCGCTCCAGCGTGAGGGTGGAGGATGACGCTGGGGTGAACGTGCCAGGTGGGGCAGACAACGAGACAGAGAACCCACGCTCCTTTTAAAAGGACATCGTATTCAGCACCGGCTGATGGTTGCCATGCTGCTAACCAGGCCTGGAGTTGCCAGATCTTGAGGTGTTTTTCCAAGAGTCTGAAAATCTGGGATTTTATGTAAATTCTCCTTATTAGATTGTTAAATGTTTAAAGCTTATTCAAACATGTTTAAACCTCTGTGAGTTGAAAACAAACAAAACAATTCTGCAAATCTCTTCTGCAACCTCTTTTTATAATTTTGAGTACAGGGAGTATTTTTTAGCACAAATGCACCAGGACATAGAGATGAGGTGAGAAGCATTTTTATTACCAGTAGGATCCCGTGTCTTTCCCACATGTGTGAGAAAGACAGAAAAAGGCAGAAGGGATTACCAAACAGCTAGAGCCAGGGTGTTTACAAAGTGATCACTTTTAGGCAGGATCTGTTCAAATACCCACCTTTCTACCTTTGAACTTGGTCTTTCACCTGGTGGGTGAGGCCCTCGTGCAAAGCCTTCCCACAGCACCCGCACACTGCAGGCTGGGGCAGGGGCTGCATCACGAATACCCCACCTTTCCCACCCACCCAAGAATGCATTTTGGGGTCGATACAAATGAGAATGCGAAAAATATACGAATGGCCTCCCAATGACCTTAATTAGTTTTTTCAAAGGCAATGCATTGCAAGCACTGGTATTTTACCTATCATTAGTAACGGTTCACTTGTGACACATCTCCCAAACTCCAGAACGACATGGATAAGAGATGGTTTTTAAAGTAAAGACAAATAGGATGAATCGCTAAGCTTCCCAGATAGACAGCACTCTCTTTCTTCGGTAATTTCAACCCAGGTAGAACTGGCTGAGGGGACTCGCCCCGCTCACAGAGCCACTTTTGGGTATCAGTCACAAGGATCTTAGGAATGTCACCATAGACACTTGGACTCTTGAGAAAGGATGAAAGAGATAAAAGACTATGTTCTCCAAGGCAATCAGAGAGTTAGAACCCACACCTTCTCACCTCTCTAACTGGCAACCAGAAGGGAGCCCCTGCTTGAATTTTTGTTTGGATGATGTTAAGTCAAGTCCCACCCCAGAGTGTAAGCCAAGAAATGAAGGATGCCCACGGTCTCTGTGTTCTTGCTCCAGGAATTGATCCAGAAGATGCGGAAGCCTAACACTAGAGCTTTCCCTGGTACCTCGTAATTTAGGATGAGGACCTGCTTCCTTCCCGCTGCACATGAAAATGAAAATTCAAGAGATGAGGACAGAAACCAGATTCAGGAAAGAAGAGAGAGGCAAAGAGATGATTGGCAGTCTTCTCTAGCGTGTCCTCTGGGGAAACGGTGCCTGGATCTTCAAGGCAGACTATGACAAATTGAGAGCAGAAAAGTCTATTCTTTTCTAGGTCACCCAAGGGAACCCATCTAACCTATTTGCGAGTGGTCTCGGGGGAAGTATCTTTAGATAGATATCTTGTCACCGTCCTTTTCGTCATCTTCTGTGATCACTTTGGGTGTCTCCTCTCTGAGCAGAGTCACACCTGCAAAACAAGCACAGACCTGTAATGAGGTGCCTCTGATGAAAGCCCTTCAGCCCGGATGCAGCACAGAGGAGGAGGATGACCCAGAAAGCTTCCTGCATCTGCAAAGCTCAGGTGTCAACCAAGAGCGAGAGGGAGCTGGGCGGCCTCACCCGGCCTCCCCAGAGGGGCTGTGGCTCAATGAGGACACCCACTCTGGTTAGGGGGGGAGCTCAACCTAGGGGTAAGAGGTAAACTTCCCCCTCTTCTCCACATCTCCTGTGTTTTTGTTTGCGGCGCCGCAGGGTGGGAAGCACACGGATTTGAGAGTCCAAATGACTTGGACTCTCATTCTGCCTCTCGATATGTGTTTTGTCAGTTAACACCTTCATGTCTCAATTTTCTGTTATGGAAAATAAGGGCAGGGGTACTTACGTAAGGGGTAATTTTGACAATTAGTTAAGAAGTATATCACAATGCTCAGCACAGAGCTGCACCGGGGAGCCACTGAGAGTCCGCTTTTCCTCTCCTGTCACCGTTGGCTAATTTATTTTCCTTTTCAAAAGAGCTGGTAAGCCTCACCAAGTCAAACTTGAACACATCTGGGGAAAACACTGAGCTTAGGCTCTGAACATGCCATTCCTAAATGCAGGTATTAGTCAATAGTAAGGTTTGCACAGTTTAGAGCAAAATAAGAAAGGAAGGAATGTGTAGTGAGTTTTCATACAGCGATGTGGCTCCAATATAAAAAAGCTATTCTTTATTTCAAGTTGACACTTTTCTTTCTTTGGGGTATTCAACTATCTTTTCTTTCATGAAATTTTAGGGATGTTAGATAGTTTGTTTCTTAGCATCCTTACTAGGCAAAATTCAAAGTTTCTCTCCATCCCTAGAGTGGGCTCCATAGTATTTTGTTCAAAAATTTAACTGATCTGTGAAATTCTGAAGACTGAGCAAAATTTTCTGGAAGGATAGGCCCAGAAAAGACCATCCAAGGAAGTCTGGGTGGTTGCGTTCATTCTGTGAATTGTGAAATGGGGTCATTTTAACAAAAAGACAAAGGAAGCTGTAATTTTAGGCCAGCACCCCCCGCCCCCCAAAATGACTTTGCCGTGCCCCAGCCGGCCAGTTCTGTTTCCCGCTGTTGCCCACCGCTGTGTTGCACCCCTCCCCCCCTAATTAGAAACCGTTCCGTTCATGAAGCACTTCATAAAGATCTGCACTTCGGGGAGGAAAGCTGCACACCACAAGAGGCCTTTCTGCAAACGCTGGGAGTCATTCAGTAGCGGCAAATTAATGAAAACTATGCGTTGATCTTAATGACTACTCGTTTGATTCAGTTCCTAGTTTGTTTGTATGGGGTCTTTACCAATTAACTGATATTTATTGGAGGAGAAAACGGTTTCAAGAGTCTAGCTGAAACTAAGTCTTTGGTGTAAATCACTTATGAAACACAGCGGGGGAGATCTTTCGCACCAGCTGTGTGGAGGTCTGGGTTTTTAGTTGGCACTAGGGCTGTTTTGGTAGGAGAACACAGAGCTGGCTATGTTGACTGAGCCTGCAAACTTTCTTTCTTACCTTGCTTGATATTGCTTCACGTGAAGCCAAAATTGGGGTTAACTTAAAAACGGCAGGAGCCTTAAAATCCCCAGATCTCAGTCAACCTTCTGATCGTTTTGAGTGTCCTGGACATCTAGTCACACGAGCATCTTGGGATTTCAGGGAAGGCTCCTCCCCGTTGAAATCGAGGGCAGCCATCAAAGTCAGCCCTTCCCAGAGCGAGCTAGGCCTTCCACAGGGACACGGGAGATAATTGCATGAGAAAAGTGAACTAGTATTAGTATTTGTAGAGCTAAGCATTCATCTTATAATGGGAAATAGATGGTAGTTCATAGAAATCTTGATTTTATGACTATCATGGCTTAGAAGGAGGCTTCTGTCAGTAGCGTCTATGTGGAATCACTGCCTTCTTATTCTTGAAGCTCGCTATTGTCGGCTTTGATGAGTTGAGAATGAACAAGGTTTGCCAACCATTGTCTTTCTGGTTTAACCCACGCCTGGTTCCCATGCTGTCCTGTGGGAAGCAGAGATTTGTCACTGAAGGACTGTCCTAGAGCCAGAAAGCTTTGTCTTTGGTGGTCATTCAACCAGACATAAAGGAATTTGTATTTCTCACAGGGTGATGATGCCACCAGCCTGATAGATTTAGGCCAACATTCTTTTAGGCGTCAGCCACACCTGACTTGAAGCTCCATTAAATCACTTTTGTGATGTAGGCATCACTGGACAATACGTCTGCCTTACCCACTGAATGGTGAGGTTCTGGCAAGGCATTTCAACATCCAGCATGGGACTTGGCATACAGTAGGGATTTAGACAATGTCACACTTCCTTTCCTTCCAGTCTCTGTGTAGGAGAACTTGGGAAACTTGGATGCTTGCTAGAACTGGCTGTGTTTTTAAGGCCAAAGCTGTCAGCCCAAGGTCTCTAAGGGTTGTCTAGCCTTACAGCAAACTGTCTCAGGCTGTGGGCCCACTGGGAGCACCGTCTAAAGCTGCCGCCTGCATTCCAGATATGTGCCTCTGCCTCATGGGAGCCAGAGTCAGACCCTACCTGTCCTGGTAAGTCACATCAGAGAGAATGCTATTCCCAGCAGGACGGGAGAGGCATCGCTTTCAAAGGGTGTGTCAGTCTTCTTTCTACAAGTACAGTATTGAGCTTTGATCTCCGAAGGTTCGTAGCTCAAGATCCAGTTTTCCAAAAGGCTTCTTTTCAATGACTCTGGCCTCATTATTCTTTACTTTCCCAGGTTCCTTCTGCTGAAGGTTGCAACTAAAGACTTCATTTTCCTTGAGTAGATCTCAGCTACTCAGATTTCACCAACCACAGCCTGATGCTCCCCGCCACTGTGGCAGGGGGCCCCTACGCAGTCAGCAAGGCGGGAGCCCCTGGCGACTGGGGGCCAAGTCGGGAGCAAAACCTCGGGTTGGTGATGAAGCCAGAGACGACTCCTCGGGGCAGTTGGAACCCATCAAATAAGCTCATTAACTGAGGGGAATGACGGTGGTTAGCCAGAGATTTAGAACAGAGCAAATCCTTGTCCAGCCCTCACTTGCCAAGGGCTAATGAGAGGAGACATCTCCGGAGTGCATTTGTTTGTGAGTTCCTCTCAACACCCTGTTGGAACCACAAGTCTCTCTGAACATCTGCTGAAGGCTCCATCCTTATCAGCTTAACTAGCATTTTGATTACTGCCAAATCTTTAGATACTAAAAGCCTCTTCAAAAATAAAGTGCTTCAGCTAATATGCTAATAACAGCTAGAGTCATGGAACACTATCCGTAATTGCAAATACAACACGGAGAGTGGCTGAGTCAAGGAATTTCCTGACGTGTACCGAGTCTCTGGATATGCAATCCCCTCTCCAGCTCTGTGTGCTTTGCACTGTTTGATAAACATTTTTTATTCAGTCAGAAGCTGTTCCCTTATGATGTTAACAATTAGGATGTAGGCCACTTCCATTGCCAGATAAACAGGGCTCAACAGTTTAGGAATTTCCTTGAATCTTATGTTTACATGGAGAGGTAAAACATGGCAGCTAAGGAAATTCTCACCTTGGGAATTGGCTTGACTTATCTCAAAGAATATAAGGTTGAGCCCTAGTTGGTGAGGCTCAGTGGACTGAGCTCCTGTCTGCAAACCGAAAGGTTGCTGGTTCAATTCCCAGTCAGGGCACATGTCTGGGTTGCGGGCCAGGTTCCCAGTTTGGGGTGTGCGAGAGGCAACTCATCAATGGCTCTCTCACACATCGATGTTTCTCTCCCTTTCTGTCTTTCTTCCCCCCCCCCCCCTAAAAATAAATAAAATCTTAAAAAAAATGGATATAAGGTTGAGCAGAGAATGAAGGGAAGCTAATGTTTACTGAGTCTTTTAATGAGCCAGGGGCTGTGCTAAGTGTTTTCTCTGCTTCATTTAATTGTGTTAACACTCTGAGGGGACAGGTTTGATGGTCCTCCTGTCAGAGGCGGGCAAAGCACAGGAGGCTCTTAGGGTTAGTGTTAGTCACCCAGGGTCACAAAGCTAGAACAGAGCAGAGCCAGAGACCAAACCTAGACCTTCCTGACCCCAAAGCCCACATCCAGCGCTGTGTACTAGGGTGCGCCCTGCACCCAGTCTCCCCCAGAAGAGCTTCAATAAACATAAATACAAGAATGGGTAGAAAATAATACAAGTCCTAATGGAGAACTTGGAACTACAGAATTGTGATTTCCAAATAGAATATATTTTAAAAACCCAAATACTTATTGAGCATCGCTCTGCAGAAGGGACTGAACCAGACACCCAGGTCAAGGCCAGCAACTGAGGGCAATCACAGCCAGTTCCCCTGAATCCACCAAACAAGCCACTGATCTAAGTCAATTGAAATAACAGCTACAGCAATAGCCACAGGCACAGTAAGAACAAAGAGGTGACAAAGTCTTGGTGTTTGCCTGCCCATGTCTGATTTAGAGCTAGTTCAGAGTAGGAAAGGGTCATTTTGGACTTGAACAGGGCTCTTAGCAGAGACTTTGCATTGCCTGAGCCTTGAAAGGTGACTGGAAGCTGGACAGAGGCAGAGCCTGGGGGACACAGGTGATGGGTTGGAGGCTCAGGGTAGGGAGGAACGCATGCAACCAATGACGAGCAGGGCCGAGGCAGGTTCGGACCCTCCCCGTTGGTCCCTCACTCGTTTCTGCAGGGAAGCACCTCACGTGCTCCGTGGCTCCCGGCCTGGTCAGCGCCTCAGAAGTTGGTGGCGCTGTGCGCCCCCCTGACAGCTTTCACATGATGTCTTGTCCTGTGCTGTCTTTCCATAATTTTCTTTATCAAATGAAATAATGGGGCAAGGTGGTTTTGCAATAACAACCCAGCTCATCTCCTCGCCAAAGTGGTCCTTGGGGTTGCTATGATGCTAGAAGTCCCGGTACCTGCATGTGCGCGTCTAATGCAGAACTGGTCAGGCTGCTGCAGTAACGTGGCACAACGGGATGCTGCCCTCGGGTGAGACAGGCCTGGGCTAGAACCCCCGGTGCTTGGTTTTTGAGCATAATTAGATCCATTCATCTATTATCTAATTAACCCATCACCAATCTAATCGTTAAATCAGCCATCGATCCATCAACTTCATCCACAGAAGACTTCAAAGTGGCTAAGTCACTTAAAAAATCTATCAGTTTCTTTCTCTGTAAAGGGAGATAATAGCTACTTTATTGTTATTCAGTTGATTTTAAAAATTCCATCTTCTACCGCCCTGCCCCAAATATCTATGTAGAACTCTCTCTCTCTCTCTCTCTCTCTCTCACACACACACACACACACACACACACACACACACAGAGTGTCCTATACTCTAATCATGAATATACATGTCTTACCCCCCCAATTCGCACATACAATTTTCAGGGACAAGACTGTACTGTACATCTACAGTACAGTGTGGCTGCCCTCTAGCCTGGGGTTTTGAACAATGTTCAGCAAGCTTTTTTGGCTTGCTTTGACACATATTAAGACAGCTACTATTATCTCTGCACCTCTCTTCCTCTCCCTCTTCCTCTCTCCTTCTTCTGTTCTGAGGATTTGGCCGATGTGTCCGGTGTCTGGGGAGACTCAGCCCCAGCTATGGAACGCATGGTCCAGGGGAGACTGGGGAGGAGGGTATCTCACCCCTTCTCAAAGACCCGCTGACTTTTCTCTTTCATTGGATCAGTGAGTCTGGCCGGTTTTGCTGAAGTGTGAGGAATGCTCCCACTGTCCCTCATCTACAGTTCAGCCCTGGGGGCGCCGCCAATGAGGGTGAACCTGAAAGGCAGCAGCAGTAGAGGCTGCTCCTCCCCAGAGCACTTCTGACAACACAGATTGCCGGGCAGGACAAAGGCCGTGCCCGTGGCTCCTCCAGATGGTAAGGCTCTTGACCTGTTCCCATCGCCCCCTGCAAATGGCCTGCACCAGCGCTTTTTACCTGCTGCCCAGGGGGACGCGTGCAGGGCAGGTGTGTCTTTTCTCCTTGGCTTTTTCTGTTCCAGGTCAGTGTTATGAAGGGCTGGACTCATTTTGCCCTTTGGATGTCTCTCTTGGACCTCGTATCTTTTAATTAACTGTTCTGAGAGCACACCTGTGTAGTTGGGGGACCAGAGGGAGAAACAGGGTCAAATACATGCGTCCTCACAGCCACGGTCTGCGCGCCCGTCTTTGCACATACACCTGGCGATGGCTGCCGCTGAATTCTTTCAAATTGATTCTCATAAAAGCATTCTCTTTCTAAGAATTAGTATCCACTGAGGCGCCACTAGAGAATGTCTATGCGAAGGGTTTTACGTGCCTGATTGGAATGTAATGTTACTCTCACCATCTCACGTCGGAAGAAAGCGAGGCAAGGGAGGGTCCCCCAGGAACACAGCTCTCAGGCGTCCACGGCGGGAGCGCAGCCCAGGGCTGGCTGCCTCCCCCGTCAGAGAGACAGGTTATTTGCTGCTCTGCAAGCCACGTGCGCAGCTCTTCGATGACTTAGTTAGTTCTGTACCTCCCCCCACCTGCCTTCTCACCTCCCTCCTATATGGGACATTTTCCCCCATCATTTGTAAATTCTCTGAAAATAGCCTCCTCCATAACCCTTCCACAGTTCACTGCCCAGACTGAGCTCCCCGGCCCTTAGCCAAGGGTGTCCAGTCTGCTGTTACTTCTCACTGCTTATTTCAGTGCCTTTGTTGTTTGTCTAAAATTAAATTTATTGGGGTAACACTGGTCCTTCCCAGAACACTCTGTGTTCTTTTGCTTTGCACCCCTTCGAATGGGCTGTGAAGAGAGAGGGCCTTCAATAAGTGGCCTGGTGTGAGGGAGAAAAGGAAAAAAGACAAAACATTTGGGAACAAGAGCGTGTCACGTGTCACGTGCAAGGCTGCTGTGGGGACACGCTAGCTGTTCACCAGACTGTTTTGCTTTGCTCCTGGACACAGAGCTGGGCTGCATTCCTCGGCCTCCCTCGTGGCAGGCGAGGCCGGTGGCAGGAGGAAGCAATGTGAGCCCCTGCAGGCCCGCCTGTCCCCCACCGAGTGCCCCGTGCCTGCAGGGTGCTGACGGCGCCGACGTGCGCAGCGGCCTTGGAAGCCGTGGGCTGGTGATGTTTCAGCCGCCACGAGCCGAGTCCCTGAGTGACCATTTGGAGCACAGCCTGCCTCCCGCCCCCCAGCTTCCACTATTGGTGAGTGAAAAATAAACTCGTACTGTGTCACCCACTAATATTTTAGAATGTGTTTGTCACAGCAGCTGGCCGAATGGTGACTAAGACAGATGGGGAAATGGTACCAATGATTAAAAAACACCCACATTTTTTAAGAAAAAAAATGTAGGACCGATGTGATGTAGCGGCTAACAGGCCGCCTTTGCAGGTGTACAAGCCGACCTCGTGGTCCTCACCTGGTATAAAAGGCGGGATGTGCAGTGCCGGCGTGTCTTTCCTCCTTGGCTTTTTTTGGTCTGACTCAATGTTCAGGGCAACCTGCACATTTTTTCCCTTTCTTGGCTTCTTTTTGAGCTCACAGTCCTTAATGAATTGGTCGGAGAGGTCATCTGATTTTGACAGGAGGCAAAGGGAGAAAGAACATGACATGAGTAAGGGTCTGGTCAAAAACCGGTCAGTTTCTAGTTCCACCTGATGGAGGGACCGGAAGTCACTGGCCTGAAAAAATTAAGTATTTCTTTACTGTGGCTTCTACCACAGGGACCTTCAGTGGCTTTGCATGAATATATATAATAACACGGAACACTAGAATTCTGTAACACTCCAAATAAGAGGGCTGAAATGGGATGGGTAATCAAGGCAAAGAGAAACTTTGGAAGAACAGGTTCTCTGGGCTAACTGCTCCTTCTCAATTTCCTTTGCTCTCAGGTTGCTTCCTCTGGAGACCCGCAGGACTGGTAGGAAGCTTATGCCCTCCTGAGTCTTGCGGCAGGGTATCCAGTGCTCTCTGGCCAGCGAAGTCACACTGCTGACTCACACGTGGCCTTCAGGTTGGTCTTTTCACTTCCCTGGCTTTGCAAGTCTCCCATTTGTCCAAGAGCCTTCTTAAAGATTAAGGATTATACCTCTTTTGTAATTTTATTCTTAATTGCTTCTTCCAATACATGCATGTTGAGCTGAGGAGATAGAGTAGGATCTATATGAGTTTAAATCCTGCTGTTACATGCTAGTTGTGAGAACTGGGCCTTAGTTTCTAGAAACTTTAATATTCTCTCAGTTTTTAAAGGGGTGATAATAGTGAGTCAGTAGGTGTGCACATGTGTGTGTGCGCGTGTGTATGAGAGACAGAGAGAGACAGAACTAAAGTTGACAAAGTGTTGGTAAAGTACTTGACACATTAGATATATTTCAGATCCTCTACAAATGTTCTCTCCGGCCGTTGCCCACCCCCAACATGTTTCACTAGGCTCAGAGAAAAGCCTCGGATACCCATAAGCCCTTCCATACTGACCACAGCTCTGGGGGTCCATTCTCATTTTCTAAGTACCCGCAGCATTTTTGCTCTTGTGACACAGATGAAGGATGATCTAGTTATTATTACTGCGTCAGCCTTCTTTGCCCTCTTCGATTACAGGTACCTTGTGTTTTATCTCCTCAGCAACAATGAATAACTATTTGCTGAATGCATGCTTGAACAAATGGACTCAAACACGTTATATATAAGAATCTGTTCTGTTAGGATTCAAAGAAGCGACCAGGCAACGCACCTACTTGTCTTCTCTGGGAACTCACTATTGCCTGGATAGAGTCTGGTTAGATCTACAACTATGAATGAATTGGGGGAAATTGAGAGATTAACTGGACCTTTTCAACTTCTGTCCCTCCCGCCCACCTTCTCTCCCTTCTTTTCTTCCTCTCTCTTTTTATTTCTACTTTTTGAAAATATTCAGGTCAATTTCTTTCAAACATTGACAATTAAATTTATCAAACATTTTCATTTTAGTTTTGTGGATCTAGACATAACTGGTGTCATTCTTCGTTTATTTATTCAACAGATAATGATTAAGCCAGGCCCTGAACTAGAAAAGGACTGAAATGACAAGTAAGAAATGGTCTCTGATTTCAACTTACTTATGGTCTGTGGGGCTTCATAGCTGGCTGATGCTTTGTCTTAGAAAACTCAGCATACAAGGGGAGCCTACCATCAGAAATATTTAACAACCACACATCATTATGGCTGCATCATCAAAAGATGACAATACATAACGAAGAAATCAAATAGCATCATTCTCTTCAGCCAATTTAATAGTAATAAACATTTCCTTTCACCGACAAAAACTTAATTCCAATCATTTCGATTTAATAGACATTAATTGAGATCGTACAACGCTATATGAAAGGGGAACTTTATTGGGTACTACTCATGTACGAGGTGATCTCAAATCATTCTAGTGTGTGCAATGGACCAGCCCCTTTTTTGATCCGTCAGCGCCTGGGTTCGCCAGAAGGCCGGATGGAAGGCTGAGGGGTACCTTGCTGGTGGGCAGGGGCATCAGGGTGAACTCCAGGCTCTTGGGATTACAAATCTACGTATGCCTGGCTGGAAGGCAACTTTCAAGATTTGTTCCATGCAGTGCAGTTAATTCCCCCACTTTATACACACCACAGGCCTTTGTCGCATGGAGGAAGGTTGCTCAGGATGGGTGGTGCCCTGCTGTGGGGTCTCTGAAGGTGCAGGCTGGACAGAGACTAGTCGTGGGTCACCGCTTCCCCCAGGCTGTGACACAGTCCCCAGTACAGAGACCAAGACATTTGCTTCAATTCTGACTTTTACTTCAATTACACATTTCCCCATTTTTGGAGAAATCTTGACATAAAATATCTGATGGCAAATGGGGAAAGGGTTGGGGGGGGAAGCCATAACCAGGCGAGGCATAAACAAAGGCTATGAATATGCAAAAGGCCCATCCATCAAAAGTCTGAGTGTCTCATTTTTAGAAATGGGTAGAGGCGGAGATGTTTCTGGTATTTTCATTACAAAGGTTATGCAAAAAGTCAGTTCTAGAAAGGAAACAGATTGGCAATAAAGCAGAAAAAGGCTATTTAAAATTCTGTCTTGATAGGCAAAGAGAGATATTTGAAATATTTTATTGGCGCTGCACACGGGGCGTAAGTGTGCCGGGAACCACTGGAAACGAGCTCCGCTGCCACATTCCATTTATTGCCTCAAAAACGCTCTGCCTGGAACTCTTTCAGACCCCCCAAAAGATAACAATGCCTTTCTCTCTAATGAACTTCTCCCCGGTGCTTCAGCTAATATTTACATGGCAGACCCCACGAACCCATGGCTATTTGTCCGTCCATCTGGCGTTGGCGCTCACCAGAAGGCACACGCTGTTGGGTTCAGGGGGCCTCCCTCTGACTGGCCTGCAACTAAATGGCAGAGACCCTCTGTTCTGACGTCCACCACCAACATCCCCGCTGCAGCACTGACCTAAGGGGCTGCAACGAGGGTCAAGCTGGTCCAGCCTGTCTTCTGAGAGCTCCAGTGGCTGCATCTGCTCAGTGGACATCGTCGAAGGAGGGCTGGTGTATGTATTTCTTCCGCAGCCCTACAGAGGTATAAGGTGCAAATCTGTTAGCGTGTATTCTTTTCATTCATTCACTTGTTCAGTGTATTTACTGAGCACTTAGTATGTTCCCAACTCAATCACATTCTCCAAGTCTTCCCCTTCTACTTAGCTACTAGAAGCTCTAATGTAAGATTTAAGCTATCAATACAATGAACAAATCTCTCATACACACATGCACATGGATTTATGGGTAACTGTCATATAGCAAATACCCAGTATGCCCTCTCTCAGATGCACTGTGGGAGCATCAGAATGAACACTTGTGAAGTCTGAATTAGAAACGAGTTAGCTGAGAGTTACAGAAAATATTGATTAAACCTTACCTATATTTTCTCTGTTGAGTTTTGCAAAGTAAGATTGTGGCTGCTTCACAGCTCGGGGAACTAAGGCTCAGAAAATCAAATTAATTTGTTTAATCACACGTCTATTAAATAGCCGCACTTGGACCCAAATCCATTCCTGCAGATTTCTGTTAGACACTCAAGTCTCTTAAAAATAGAGTGAGTTTTCTGAGCCCTAATTGAACAAGGCTTCTGGTTTTCAACCATTACATCCTGTAACTATAAAGTAATGAGACTTCCCCGCTATCCAGGCTATGATGGTGGTAGAGAGGTGGTAGGAAAAAAATCTTGGTCTTGAAATAGATCTTTATTATTTTTTCCCTAGAGATTCCTGACATTAGAGTGAGTCTGTTCCCCTCCCCTCTTTACCCCCATCTTTCCTAAACCACAAACCCATCGAACTTTCCAGAACTATTAGTTGTAGGTATTGCCCAAGAGAAGTGGAAACCCAGAATGGATACGTGTCAGGTCTGAGTGAGAAATGCATTAGTTGAGATTTATAGGAAACCTTCATTATGATCTACCTAGATTCTGTCTCTTGAATTTCTTTCAGATAATTTATCACTCTTGTCCTACCATAGCAAGAATGCAGGAGAGGAACAAGATTAACATGACCCACGGGTCCTCTTCTCTTGAGGCTCCTAGATCCCTGGCATGCAGGGGAACACACGGGCCAGCTGTGTACCATTCCCAGCTCAAAGAATTAGTTCAACTCTGTTGTCTTACGAGGAATAAGCTGATTTTCTCAGGACCCTGGAGGGCCTCTCCCCCTGCAGGCTGAGATCATTGCGTAGCAGATGGAACCATTAAGGGATTACTCGAGTGGCTTTTAGTGCCACTTGGTGCAGACTGATTACACTGAGTGACCTCAGCAGAAATCAATTTAGACCGTTGTCTTTAGTGTTTGTATAGAGACTTCCAACTCCCTGGGACCGTAAAGAAGCATGCTGTCACCTTGGGGGCAGCCCCCACCTGCTTGCCTGCAGAGGAGAGCTGTGGACCACCTCTCAGGATGGGAGGGCTCAGCGCTGAGGGCTAGAGGTAAAGTGGCAGCCTGGGCTGTGGCTTGTGCATCTACATACCCAACCTGCCTTTTCTATGGGCAGAATGACAATGGCCCTGTTATAGACTTTGTGCTGGAAATCACCCTATGGGGAGAACCTGGTCAAAAGGTTCATTCTCCAGAAGAAGAAATGGGGGCTCAAAGGGGTTAAAATGACCTTCCATTAGTTACACACTTTGCGTCGGAGTCTCGGAGTCTCGTTTGCAGCCGGGACTCCTTCCAGAGGCTCTGCGTCCTGCCTCACAATAATACCCCCTCCTTCTCCGCAACCCAAGCTGAGCTGATCTTTGTACTTAAATCACGTGGCTGCTCATCGGTGCTCAGTAGATGGTTATTTAATTTAAACCTGAGTTTTTAAGTCAAACAGATATAGAGTAAATCAGCTCTTTTAACTAAAAAGCCAAATGACTTTGATGAAGTAGCTAAGCCAGAATGGCATAGCGAGGGTAAGTGGAACGCACGTGCAATGCCATGATTTATGCCGTCTCTCCTGACAAGCTACCGTTGCTCTCATAGAATTTGCAAAAGCGGGCACTTTTGCGAGTGCCGACTGGCACCCAGGGACACGTCCTCTTCTGCCCCCCACCCCATTCTCACCCTCAGGTTCCTTATCTGTAACATAGACATAATCGTGTCTATTCTGTAGAGTTACTCTAAAGATTAGATAGGATAGCTTCGTGCTTTGCATATTGTAGGCAACCGTTGTTACGTAACATTGTCAATACCCAACTAAACCGCCGGTTAATGAAGACTAGGTGTATAACTGAAAAACTCCATAGACGTATTGAATCTTCTGCTTTCATCTAGATGTGGGACCACAGAATGGTCAGCCTTCGCTTGAGCAAAACTATTGTCCCTGTGCTGGACTTGAGAGGGAGAAGAGCCCGCCCTTGGGAGATGAACTGTGCAAGTGGCAGAGGTCCAGTGACTGGTCACAAACCCGACACCTGCTTCCTTCCCGGACAGCACCTGGTGGCTGTGGGGAAATGGCCCTATTTTAAATCGGTGGGACTGAAAGAACGAAAGTGGTGAACCAGCGCGCCTCTGTTGGCCAGGGGGCTGGGAGGTGATGTTTAGATTTGGGGTCCCTCCCCTCCCCACTCCCGGCCCCTCCCCACTCCCCATTTCTGTCCTCATGAGAAGGGTGCCTCGTGGGACTGGGCCATCGTAAGGTTTGAGGCGGTCTAATTCTTGCCTTAGGAAATGGAATGTCTCTACTTCCAATCCTGATCGGCTGTGACTCCTGTCTTCACTGCCTCCACCCCCAGTGTCAGCGAGAGGACGCTGCCGCCGTCACGCTGCCCTGAGAGGGTTTCGTCATCTCCCTCAGCAGCTCGCTGTAACTGGGAACGCTCTGAGCACCTACATAGCTGCTCCCCTGGGCCTGTAGGTTGGGGGTGTTTCAAAACTGTTCTCTAGTACAAAGATCTGTGGCCCTTTAACATTCTCTGGGGACTCAGTGGTTCAGCATGGCCTCTGAGTGTTAACACTCACACAGTGCTGACGTGGACTGCCCCTGTGATTGTCCCTATCAGCCTGTCTGCGCTCACCTGAGAAGCCAGGGCCCACGGGCTGTGGACATCGGGAGATTTGTATCATGAGCACCCCAGAGGGGCCTCTGGGAGGACCACAGTCACAGGTGTCACTGCGGCGCCCATACGAGTGTTGGCACTAAAGGACATAACTGACATCTATGCAAAGATTCATATCCTTTCTGGTCAGGTTCTGCTACCCACTGCATTTATGTTGAACTGAACGACAACAGAAACCGTTTGGTTTTCAGAGTGTTTCAGATTTCTCAGCGAGAGAAGAAAGCATTCTGGGTCTGTATTCCTTTTTCCATTGTTGTTGTTTGAGAGAACGTGGGTGGTCTGGTGTAGCATGTACAAGAGACCGAGTGACATCATTTCACGGGTTGGAGGAGGTTTTCAGGACCACGACACTAAACCCTTGACACTAACTTCCTCTTGCTATTTCTAACACTTCAAAAAAAAAAAAAAAAAAACCCAAACAAGCAACTTTTTTTGCCACAGAGACACACTTTTGAAGCAAATATTAATGAGAGAGGAGCTGTATTAACTGATGTTGCGTATAGAGGGGTTATTAATGACATAGGTCACTTTCTCTTTTGAAAACAGGTTCTACAAGGTCCAGGGCACTGGGTGTTGGGGAGGGAATCCCACCCACTCAGTTGCAGAAGGACAGGCTATGAACACACTTGGGGGAGCCTGCCCCCACGAGCTCAGAGCTCGTTACTATTTCAGGAAGACAGCGGTGCTATTTCTGCCCCTAAAAAAACATTGGTCAGTTCAGTTTGAGGTTCGAAGCTGGTCTGGGCATTTTGTCCTTTCTCTTCACACTGAGTAGACTTCTCGGTTGGGTATTAGAATACGCAGCTTAATTCATGGGCAGAAAATTCCTTACTGACTATAAGCATTTGGTGTTGCGGGGGGCAATATGAGGTAAAAACAAATGTTGGGTTATGTGTGTCATTCTCTAGCTGGGTGAACCTGGGGAAGTTGTGTGTCCTCTTGGAAACTTAGTTTCCACATCTGCAAAATGGGATGATTAGCGGCCCCCTTCTAGGGTTGCGGAGAGAATGAACAGCACAGTGCACGGAGCTCCCAGCCCAGGCCCCAGCCCGCACACCGACAAGAAGAAATGGGAGGTGCCTGCCGTGCACTCTCAGCCTCCTCCTGTGACTACAACAGCTGAGTCCGAACTGAAAGAAGTCCTTGTCCCACCTCGGGCCTTTCTGAAGCTAATGATGAGATTAGAACAATGCAAGGTCCAAACCAGCTGCAAGGCCTTGGGGCATGGCAATACTTAGCTTAGCTGGGCGGCCTTCTAAAGAATTTCCCCAAAGCCATCAGGCCTGGATTTACTTGATGGAATAAAAGGTGAGAAGGTTCTATCCACCGGCCCAATGTGGTGTTTGGTAAAAGGACCCTCTGGTTATGTAAATTTCATACTTTTTGTCTTATCTTTTTTTAACCTGAGGGTGGAATTCAGGTCAAAGAGCCACGTTTTAAAATCTAGCCTGCTCACGGAGAAGACCTGCATGTGCAGTATCCCCCAGGACTGATGGACTCTTCCTTGAAGTGGGGCGCAGAGAGGTTTTTTTGATAAGCACCCTCTCCTCAGCCTTCAGCTGAGGCTCCGTGTGTGGCTCTGTGAGTACGCGGCTGCACCAGTGTTTAGCTTGAGACTTCCAATTTAATTTGCCAGGACCCTGGTTCTTACACATCCCAGGACTCCACCTCCCTTGGAAAGTGACTGGGAAGTAGTGGCTTCTGGTCCCCACCTCGCCCCGGCTTAGCCCTGCTTCAGAGAGCGTGTCCTGCCACCCCCTTCCCAGCCCCTTTCTGCAGCCTTCTTGGCTCAGCAACAACAAAGAAACTGTAACTTACTGGAAACTTGTTTCTCTTCCCACCAAGTTCTCAGAGTGAAAATCCCAGGCACTTACCTGTCGGAGCAGGCGCGGGGTGAGAAGCGCAGAGGTGGGGAGGGCGTGCTTCCTCCCTGAAGCGGGCTGGCTCCTCTTTGGCTGCAGTAGCTGCTGCTGCCCAGCTTCAGCTCCAGCTCCTCTTATCAAGGGACCAGCTGCGCTGTTGCCATGGGGATGCTCCGCTTCTCAGGCGCCAGGGCCAGGGGGATGGAGCGGGAAAGAGGGCTGTTCTCACTGCCATGGGTCCCAACTGCAGTCGCTGTCCATCACAGAAACGCAGCACTCACAGGTGTGCTTTGGGTACCTCGTGGGCAAGGCTGGAAAAATCTGGACAAACCAGCCAGATCCTTTAACCCCCAAGATAGCAGGGCGTTTTTAGGGGTCTCGCTTTGAAAATGTGGAAATCGAGGCACAGAGAGGTTAAGTGACTTGTTCAAAAGGTGCCACAGGCTAACTCTAATGCTCCCATCTATTGACTTCAAATTTAAAGTACTTTCACTCACACGCCCGCCCGCCGCTGCCTCTGAGAGACCAGAAGAAGGGAAACAGTAGCAATTGCTGACATTTCTGTAAGGTTTCCCATGTACCAGGCAGTCTTGATACATATGCACTCATTGAATCCTCACAACCACCTTGTGAGACAAGCTGCTGCCATCGTCCCCACGGAGCGGATCAATCCTTGGCCCCAGGTCTCTCCACGAGGAGGCAGGGAAGGCCAGGGTCTGACCTGGGCAATCAGATGCTAGAATCCAGGCCCTCCACCACGTTCCGGGACTGCTCACCAAAGAGGGCATTTCAGAGAGAAATAGCACAGCGAAGGAAGGGGCCGCCACGTAAGGGCAGGGGCTGCGTGAGGCCAGGAATACTGTGCTCCCATAAAGGAGTTAAACCAAATGTCCCACTGTTAGGGACCCACGTGCACTCCAGGGAAGGCTCAGGGACAAAGGGTGTGTAAGGGAGGGCGGGGGCGGGACCGGCCCTCTGCCGGGGAGGAAGGGTACGCGTTCCCGGAGGCGCACTGGAGGAAATGTCCTGCGCTGATTGGAGGCGCAGGAAGCAGCTTGTAGTCACTGGCCTGGGAGTCGAGGGCAGGGAGGTGGGTCTGGGAGGTCAGACTGGGAGGGTTTGAGACGCCTGAGCGCAGCCAGGAGGCCATCCCCGAATGACACCAAAACGATGGGTTCTCACGGAATAGGGACGAGTGTTGTCCACAAGTGTTGTTTCCTTTCCTTCCCGAGGCTGCAGGCGGGGCGGGACCTGAGAGGCCCCTCTGTGGCTTCAATGACCTGTGTGCCCCTGGTATTGAGTTGATCGATGCCTCCTTTCCATTTGCCAATATCCCGCATACTAGGGCTAGAACCCTAATAAACGCACCCTGAGGCTGACTCCTAGGCTGGGCATTTCTTCAGAGCCCCCGGAACAAATCCACGAGTGGGGGGGGCATTCCTTGTGTGATCCAGGTCGTCCTGGCCCTCACTGGAACCTCCTCGTTAGAGGTGGCGGCTGCCCAGAGGCAGAGCTCCTGGCTCGCACGGGAGGCCCCTGGACGCCCAGGGGGAGCCCCTGGAATCAGCTCTCTGTTCCGAACCGCCTGCTTTTCGCTTCTTATCGACAGCCTTGCTGGCCCGTGGATTAACAGCATCCTCATTTCCAAAGTTACGTGAGAAAATTAGACTTTCTTCCTAAACTCTTCACTTCTTTTAAAATTAAACCTTTTTTTTTTTTTTTTTTTTTTAGATAACTGTAGATTCACATGCATTTGTAAGAAATAATACCGAGAACTCCCCTGTTCCCCTTCAGCAGTTTCCTCCACTGGTACCATCTCGCGAAACTATGGTCCAGTCTCTCAAACAGCATATCGATATGGGTACAGTCAAGATGCAGAACAGTTTCTTACCACAAGGATTCCCCCTGGAGCCCTTGTGGAGCCACACCCATTACCCTCCCCTCCCCTGCCGGCCCTCCCGGTCCCCACTCCTGAGTCCCAGAAAGCCACTAACCTTCCATTTCCATAATTTTGTCATTTCAAAAGTGTTTTATAAATGGAAGCATACCATATGTATCCTTTTGGGTTGGCTTCCCCCCTCCCCCCTGCCAACTCAGCTTTATTTCTGGTGATTTATTCAATTTATGTCATGCGCCAACAATTTGTTTCTTCTTATCGCTGAGTAGTATTCCATGGTAGGTACCAAAGTTTAGCCATTCATGTGTTATAGGACACCTGGCTTGTTCCTAGTGTTTGGCAATTTACAAATAAAGTTCTTATGAAAGTTCATGTATAGGTCTTTGTGTAAATATAAGTATTCATTTCTCTGGATAACTGCCCCAGAGCACAATCGCTGGCTCTTTGAGACAATTGTACGTTTAATTTAAAAAGAAACTGCCAAAAAGTCGTCCAGGGTGGCTCCACATTTCCTATTTCCACGAGCTTAGGTGAGTGCTTCAGTTTCTCCACATATTTGCCAGCATTCTGTGGTGTTCTCATTTTTCAAGTCATTCTCATAGGTGTATTGTGATAACTCATTATGGTTTTAATTTGCCTTCCTCTGTTGACTAATGATGTTGCACATCTTTTCATATGCTTGTTTGCTATCTGTTTCTTTAGTGAAATGTCTCTTCATGTCTTTCACCCATTTTTCTAATTGGATTTTTTTTTTTTTTTTTACTGTTGAGTTTTGAAAATTCTTTGTATATTCTAGATACCAGTCCTTTATCAGTAAGTAATATATTTTTGCCAATGTTTTCTCCCAGTTTATAGCTTATACTTTCAAACTGTTAACGAGAGTCTTTCATTGAACAAGATTTAAATTCTTATCAATCCCACTTATCATTCAATTAATTTTAAAGCATATAAAGTTGAAATTCCTTTTGAGACTCCTCAGAGAAGCTGAACTGTGTGAGGAATTTTAAAACGCTCTTTTGTCACTTAATTTCCCAAGTTCAAAGGGAATATTTTCAAAGAGAGAAGAGTATGAATTCTTTATTTCCCCTTCGAGTAGACATGTGTGTGTCTCCCAAGTTCAGGCTGTTGTTGGGGGTGGTTTTTTCCGGGGCTTTCTATGCACGTTCTAATTGATTATACCCAACCCCCCTTTTAAGGCAGATGTGAACAGCGACTAGGTGGCAGATGGTAATGTAAATCTATACCTCGGAGATCTCTAAATAACAGCCACATATGTGCAGTGTTGAAGTCACAGGCCCTTGGCCTGCCGTGCTCCCGGTGTCAGTGCGAAGAGCCCTGTGTCCACGACGGGAGGCGCAGGGCCAGGGGCCTCAGGCGTGTGGGTGATGGCGCCTGGCTGCATTCCTGATGGTGCCTAACGGTAACTAGCTTTAAAGGAATATGCTTTTATTTTCATCTCAAATATTCAATCTTAATGAATAAGAATGGTCACAGTGGTCTACATTTCCAGACAATTTATTTTAGCCCGTAGTCTATAAAATGTGCATTCAAATATTTGCCTTCTCAAATCCATCTAAGGCAGTTTCTGTGTTGATGGATAACGGGGTTTCAGCTCCAGAGAGGGGGTGACGGAAAGAGGGAGGGAGAGGAAGTGGGGGGAGAGGGAGAGAGAGAGGGGGAAGGGGGGGGAGAGAGAGAGAGAGAGAGAACATTTGCAGGCTGGTTTTATCCCAGAGATCTTGCTGGATCTCTTTGGCTGGCTCCTTCAGCCCTTACAAATAACTGTTTCAGATCAGTGTCTTTTGGTAAATAAGCATCCATGTCACTTCTTTGGGTAGTTTTAACCACATTTTAGCTCTTCATAACAGAGGCCTATTTGAGTTAATCAGTATCAAATTATGATATCATGTATTCTCATCCAATTGAAGAATATAGAACACATTAAATATTTCAGAAATTGTCAAATACTTAGTAAGTGCCTATTAAAATGAGAGATAATATTATTCATTTATTTGAGGTAAGTGGAGATTCACATGCAATTATAAGAAATAATATGGAGAGATATATCCTGCCTATATTATGCTCGGTTTCCCCCAATGGTGCCATTTCGTAAGATAACAGTACAACATCACAACTGGATATTGACCTCGGCACAATTCACTTGTCTTATTCCAAGCTCTCTAGTTGTGTATTTGGTTCTACACAGTTTTATCCCGTGTAGGTTCACATGTCCCCCACCACAGTCCGATACTGATCATTTCCACCTCCACGAGGACCCCTCCTGTGGTTCTTTTATGACCACGCCCACCGTTTCCACCCCTCTCCTCTCTGACCCCTGTTAACCACAAATCTGTCCTCCACTCCTATAATTTTGTCATTCCCAGAATGTTATATAAATGGAATTGTATAGCATATAACCTTTGCTATTAGCTTGTTTCACTCAGCTTAACTCTCTGGAGAGTCACCGTGGTTGCTGCATGTATCAAGAGTTAATTTTTTTTTTTAATTGTTGAGAAGGACTCTGTGGTATGGATATGCCACAGCTTGTGTAACCAACCACCTGCTGAAGAATATTTGGGCTGATTTCAGTTATCATATGACAAATAAAGTTGCTGTGTACATGTGTGGACAGGCTTGATGTGAACGTAAGTTTTTATTTTTCTGGGATAAGTACCGAGGGGTTCGATTGCTGTCCTGTATGGCAACTGCATGCTTATTTATTTTTACACATGACGCCTTTTGCTCCAATTGCCCCTCAAAACAAATTTCAATATGGCAATAACTAAGAGGACACATGCACATAGGAATGAGCCCATGTGTCGTGTGGTTTTATAAGAAACCACCCAATTATTTTCTAGAGTGGCTGTATTATTTTATATTCCTACCAGCTATATCGGAATTTCTCTGCATCATCACCAGCATTTGGTGTTGTCACTATAATTTGTTTTAGTCATTTTGAAAGGTATGGGGTGATATCTCACTGAAGTCTTCATTTGCCCTTCACTGATAAGTAATGATTATTGAACACCTTTTCGTGTACTTAATTTGCTGTCTGTATACCATCTTCAGTGAAACATCTCTTTATGTTTTTTGCCCATTGTCTAATTAAATTGTTTTATTCTTAGTGTAAGGTTTTGAAAGTTATATGCATATGCTAGGTATTAGTTTTTGTGATTTGAAAAGATATTTTCCTCACCTGAGGCTTATTTTTTCATCCTCTTCACATGGGTTTCACAGAGCAA